TGTATATATATATATATATATATATATGTGTGTGTGTATTAAAAAGGTAGGAAGTCTCTCACTGATATAAACACAAGCTGCAGATGTCTATTGTGACTATTATTTTATAAAATCCATATCAACTTTATGGCCAAAAGTACGCGGGCGCCCCTCCAATTTGTGAGGTTCAGGTGTCTCCAGTGAAGGGTACTGATAATGTTCCAGGATATTTGGTTTGAGGTAATTGTGCGCTTCCAACTGACAAGAATAAAAAGGTAGGAAGTCTCTCACTGATATAAACACAAGCTGCAGATGTCTATTGTGACTATTATTTTATAAAATCCATATCAACTTTATGGCCAAAAGTACGCGGGCGCCCCTCCAATTTGTGAGGTTCAGGTGTCTCCAGTGAAGGGTACTGATAATGTTACAGGATATTTGGTTTGAGATAATTGTGCGCTTCCAACTGACAAGAGTTTAGGGAAGGTTCTGGTGTGCAAAGCCAGCTCCATACAGACATAGTTTGATGATTTTGGTGAGGAGGTACTCAAGTGGCCTTCAATGAGCCCCGACCTCAACCCTACTGAACACCTTTGGGATGAATTGCAAAATGAATCCATCGCCAAGTAGATCTTCTCATCCAACCTCGCAAATGGGTTTTTTTAGCTGAATGGGCACAAATTCCCACAGACACACTCCAAAACCTTGTGGAGGAACTTGAGTGGCCTGTGCAAAGCTCTGACCCAGTGGCGGAACTACCAGGGTCGCAGAGGTCGCGGCCGGGCCCTGGAGTTCCGCCACTTGGAGGGGGCCCAGGACAGGAGGAAGGGGCCCCTGGTGACCGCTGATTACCAGGATATTTATTATCCCCGTAACCGCTAATGTCAGTCCCGGGACCTCTTTCCCCTGTCCTGGGCCCTACATGCATCACGCTGCTCCCCTCACCTTGTTCCGGGCGCAGCGTGAAGTATCATCCAGCCGGGCAGCAGCCAATGAGTGGGAGCGGTGTAATCCCCGCCCCCTCATCACACAGAACTGCTGCCCAGTGCCGAATAGAGCTGCTGCGGACACGAAGGGGGAGACCGAGACAGGGAGCTGGAAGTATGAAGGAAGGTGACGTGGGGTCCGGGAGCGGAAAGCTGGGGACATGAAGGGGGAGATAATGGGGAGCTGGGGGCATGAAAGAGGAGAGTGTTTTTTCATGGATTCTTGCATCGGGGCCCTGAGGTCACTAGTTACGCCACTGCTCTGACCTCAACCCTACTGAACACTATTGGGATGAATTGTAACCAACCTCACAAATGTTTTTTTTTAGCTGAATGGGTGCAAATTGCCACAGACACCCTCCTGGATTTTGTGGAGGAACTTGAGTGGCCTGTACAAAGCTCTGACCACAACCATACTGGACACCTTTGGGATGAATCGGAACACTGATTGTAAGCCAGATCTCTTCCAACGTCACTATCTGACCTCACAAAGGCTCTTTTCGATGAATGGGCACAAATTCCCACAGACGCACTCCAAAATCTTGTGGAGAGCCTTGTGGAGGAACTTGAGCCCTGACCTCAACCCTACTGGACACCTTTGGCCTGAACTGGAGCACTGACTATGAGCCATGTCTTCTCCTGTACCTGACCTCACAAATGCTCCTTTGGCTGAATG